TTCAGATACGTTGGTAACAAGTTTTCTAAAACAATTATAAGTTTCTCAAATAAGTTTCAGTCCATTTACTGTCATTAATAGCTTGTATAGCAGCAGTATCTGCCATTTTTTGTACAGCATGTACAATTTCGGTGATTGCCAGCGCATTCATTTTAAATGCTTCTGCTTGGATTTTAACATATTCAACATGTATCTGAAACATTCCAATATAATTCATAAATGACTTATAATTCTTATTTTAAAAATCACATTCTACCTTTGATGAAAATAAAAGAGTAAGAAAAAATATCTAATGTCTAATAAATTTTTTCCTCTTTTGCTCTGAAGATCACCGAAACTCTATGCATTTTAGATAAAATGTTATTAGGAGTGTATCTGAGGTATCAAAAATATAGACAAATTTATAAAACTTCAGGAAACTTTTCCTTTGTTATCTATAATATACTTTAAAAAATGTTGTTATATAATATACTTTAAAAAATGTTGTTATATAATATACTTTAAAAAATGTTGTTTGCAAGTTATGGTAGAGCGACCCTAACTTTTGCCTACAATTGTACCTTAGATACATTTTTAAACATCACAGACAGCAATAGAAGATTTTGTTTTATGATCTCAGCATTGGTCTGTTTTTGAGCAATAAATTGAAAATTTTCTCTGAATGAACGCAATTGTTCAGACGATTTAACTCGATTATCTGTAATAATCAAAATGTCAAAAATATTTTTAAATATTACATACAGGACCCCTATTCTTGAAATTTTTGCATATACGTAATTTTTATTGCGTAGCTATTTTATAGTATAATTAAACCTGCGCAGTAAAACTTACGTATACACAACTATTTCAAGAATAGGGGCCCAGCTCTATTATAGAATCCCATTATTGTTTGTCTTACAAAAATGCGACATAACCTCATACCTACTTTGTTATTATTATTCGTGCACGTTACTCTTCTACTGTTTACATTTTTTGCACTTTTGCACACTTGCACTGCTCACACTGCTTGTACTGACTCCAGACCTAGGGCAGCCAGTGCAGTGAACTCGTGTACTGAGTTCTGCTGCACTGGAATAGAAAACAGCTTCGCTGACGTCAATTCGGAAATAGAAAACGCTTAAGTGCACACTTTTGGCACTAGTGCAGCCACAGGCACAGTGCAGGAACGAAAAACAAACCTAAGGCCTGTTCTTTGTAGTTGCACTGCTGAACTGGTGCAATATATTGAAGTGAAACAAATATACGTTTTCTCACTCTAACTTATTGCACTAGTTCAGTAGTGCAGCTACAAAGAACAGGCCTCTATAATCACGTTATCCGTTTCGTATTTCTAGTATACCGAACTCATTGGCTGCGTTCAGAAAACATAGGGCGCATTCAGTAGAAAAAGCGCTCAGTGAGCAATCAACGATTATTGGTTCTTGCTATTAGATCCCTAAATCTAGACCAATTACATTGACAAATTACTCAACTGTTGTGCAACTGTTGAGTCTACTGAATGCAGCCATAGCTAATCAGTGAGTGGTCAGTGATTATTGGTCCTTACTGTTAGTTCTCTAACTTTAGACAAATTATATTGACGAATTGCTCAACTGTTGTGCAACTGTTGAGTTCGCTGAACGTACCTATTGTCAGTATGGTCAGAAATCTAGCCCTGTAGTACCGGTAGTATTGAGAGGGGATGACGCACATATGCAAACATGCCCATGTACATGTGCGCTCTGAACTTATAGCATGTTCGACTGGCTCTGGATTAACCTACTCTGGGTTATTCAGCCTATGTTTATTGATCGAACAAGTATTTATAAGCTTTATAATTTGCTAGTAAAGACTTATGACGTCATTAATCGCTCTCGGAGCGATTAACCCAGGGCCAATCGAACACGCTGTTAGTTCGTTTGTCATCCCCTCTCAATACTACCGGTGCTACTGGGCGAGATTTCTGGCCACACTGACCGAACTTACATAAAAGTGTGTTGCTTTGTTTTATTATTCAACAGAAAACCTAACCATAAATATGTATAAATCTTTCTGTAAACTTTTTCGATATTCTTAAGCTTCCAAATGTAGATGCAAAAGTAGAGCAATGTTCTTCAAAATTTTTCTGTTTGGAACTTTCGATATGTACGAGCTACGGAACTTTTGGATTAGGCAAATATTACGCTATTGACAGCTTGAGATTTTACATTAAAAGTTTTTTGTTCGTTTTCGTCACATATCAAGCAATGTTTCTATTTATTTTTGCACGTACTTTCATTGCGTAAAAGCATTTGTAATTCTGTGTAACCAATACGACATAAATTTTGCAGAAAAATGTCAGTATTCAACTTCGGCATTCCCTTAAGAGCATACTTTCTCCACGTCGCACGGCTTATAGAATGGCGAAAAATAAAAACTTCTAAAAATGCAATACAATTTATGAGACATTTATATTTATTGTTAATGTTTGTTTCCAATAGTTTTCTACATCACACATGAAGTACTATTGATGCGTTTTTTAAAGTGGAATCTCCAATAAATTTAATCACTCTAGGCGGAAGCTTAGTCGCTCTATCTTTAAAAAAGTTTTTATTTTTCGTTCCTCTACAAACCTTATTGTACAACGTGCGAAAGCCACATTCCTGAAGCTTTAATAATTTATTGGCTGCACACAGCGCAACGAGACAAGGAGAACGATGGGAGACAAGGACACCTCAGAATCGACCAGAAAATACATCGCTTGTCAAGCTCTGCTCAAGAAAATGGGATCTGGGTCCTGATTCTCGAAAATATATTGTATATGATATTTAGAGAAAAGCTATAGTGTACGTAATATAAACTATAGCTTTTCATGAAATATCTTATATAATATATTTTCGAGGATCAAGACCCTGGTCGAATTTTTTTTCATTGAATCAACTCGTAAGCCTCCCAAAATGGCAGAACCAATCGCACTCATTATCTTGTGAGGTTGCAAAGCAACTCAATTACAAATTTTACATTTTTGAAAAACTATATAATTCTTAACACTTTTCTTTTACATATAATAAGTCATTGTTAAGTATGTACTAATTTTTATTACAGAATTTGTGATAAATACAAATATGCCATTTTGAGTGATAAATAGTTTGCTTCTATTTTATAGGGAGACTAATGGGCCTTCTACAATATTTGTTTGCCTTCCGCAAACAAATTGACTAACCACAGTCGAGATTGTTTTTGAAAATAATCGACTGTGATTGGCCAACTTGCTTGCGGCTTATGACTAATAGCTTATTGTAAAAAACCCATAATAGAAACAAGACTCCGGAAAATAAACAATAATCCAGTGACGAAGCGTCAACGTCTTATCTTTCGAGATGATCGCCGGTGTACTATATAGTTCGAGAGTCCGTTGTTATTATTATCGTCGACACGATTTAAATCGTTAACATTTCTTTATATTCAATTCAAAATATTTAACGCAGAAATGCTAGGTATACTATTCGTGTAGTCAACTTTTATTGCTTTGTCCTCGATCTTCTCCCGACGATCATCACTGGCAATAATTAAAAATAGTAAGTTCGCATTGACCGCGAAAATTATACGCGTTACATGTACATATGAAATTTGGTCCTTTGAGCTGGATACGTGTCATTCGATTGAGGAAAAGGGAGTCGTGCAAAGTCACAGTCACGATCGCCAGTGTAACTGTGCTTAGAAACACCTTTACTGCTAACGAAGTATCCGACGTGTTTCACTGTTGCACCATCAGATCAGACGTGATAGGCTCGACCGATATATTTGGCGAGAAGAAAATGGTGCCTTCTTCAATTCGCGTGTTAGCATTAGTGCTACGTAACGCTCGGTTTTAAGTGCGTTCGGGGAGCATTATTAGCACTACATAGCGCTATGTCATTATATTCTTGTTGTATAACTAAGAAGCGATAAAAATAAAAGAACTCGATAGCGTTGGTGGCGGTGACGTGCTTTCCGAACGCACCCTATGAGGAAACGTTAATTGTCCGTAGTAAACAATTGACAACTGTTCGAACGAAGACAGGTCACCCTCACTACCGATGGGTTTCAAATTTAAGACTTCCAAGCTGTTCCCACGCAGCAATGTAGTTTCGAACAAGCAACTTCCGTCTAAAATTATTGATAGCAGTTTTTTCACATACTTTTGTCCAGTTCCTCAACTGAGCTAGTTGGTTTTATCGACTCGTATCTCTCAGTGGTCTCTTCAAAATCCTTCATTTCCTCGTCTAAGTTGGTTGATTCTATCAACTCGTCTTTCTCTGTAGTTCCAACAATACTATCCAATTCATCATCATCTAAGTAAGTCGGTTCTATTAACTCATATTTCTCGGTAGTTCCACCCAGACTCTTCAGTTCCTCGACTAAGCTCCGGATATTGACCTTGCGTGAGATCACCAATTTCCGTTGATCTGAGGGGCCATGGCTGCGGGATTTAAGACCCATTGAACGCGCGACTCTGAAATAAATAAAACAAAACCACATTAAGCACGTAAAACTTTTTCAATATATTGTATCTTATTTATTGTTATTTAAAACATTAGGCACGTAAAACATTAAGCACGTAAAACTTTTTCAATATATTGTATCTTATTTATTGTTATTTAAAACATTAGGCACGTAAAACATTAAGCACGTAAAACTTTTTCAATATATTGTATCTTATTTATTGTTATTTAAAACATTAGGCACGTAAAACATTAAGCACGTAAAACTTTTTCAATATATTGTATCTTATTTATTGTTATTTAAAACATAATTCCATTTAAATAAGGAATTATTATTTTTCAGAAATAATCTATAATATCATATAGTTGTATTATATAATATAGTAATATATGTGGGTGTGTTTATACACACACACACACGCGCGCACATACACACACACACATATATATAGAAGCAGAAAATTTGGAGAATGTTAATAATTTAAACATAAGTGATACGCACTGATGGATCATTGCTCTTTCATCGTTGGTGAAATCTGTAGAAAATACTATATCGTTTTGCATATCTCCCATTAGGAACTCCTTAAAAGCAATCCTGCATTTGGCTTTCAGTTCATGCATATTGGAGGAACTTGATTTCAGACCCAAACCCTCTCGGCTGAGCTGTTGTTTAAGCCTAAAAAGGCGATAAGGATTTTTGCTATATTTCTAATAATTTGTTTAAAAGCAAGCATTGTTTAAAAATTAAAAGAAAATATGAATACTAACGTCACAGGTTCCATGATACCCTGCTGGGATTTTCCAAGACCACCACCGCTCCAACCCATTAACTTCATCAATTTCTTTCCAATATTGTCATCAGGTATATCATCCTGGGACTTGGTCTTTTCTATCGTCATTAAGTTGACGTTTGTCTGTGCATCTGAATTTTGCTTTATCTGAATTTTAACAAATATAAATGAGTAAGAGAGTTGTACTTTATGTATCTTCTTATTATACTATCATATTTATACAATAAAAACAAAGTTGATTCTAAGAATTATTTTCTTTAAATATACTACCTTTAAAAATGTATAATTGCAATAACTCTGAAGTCAAAGCAAATTATTTTACAAAGAATATTGTTTTTTTCTTAATTCTATGCATATTTATTAGAGACGTGCGAACTATTCGAATCGAATCAAGTAAAATTCGATTCGATTCGAATTTGAATCCCTATGATTCGAATCCGAATAATTCGAAAATTTCGAATCAAAAAGATTCGAATACGAATCGTGCACATACGCTGACTGCGTCTTACATGTGATACCTCAGAGAATGTAAGACAAATTATATTTTGTCACGACAATTTGTTAGCTATCAACCATCCGCGCTTTGGAGAG